CCATATACAAAGTCCATATGCTTAGTCATTGTACAGGGGGTTGAAAATTTCACTCTAATTGCTTATCTCTTAGAAAATCTCAACTTGGCCAGGGATATTAATAAAATTCTGCCACAGGCCCTAAAATTAATTTCTAAAGAAATCCATGACTTTGGGAAAGTATCTGGATTTAAAGTAAATTGTGCAAAATCTGAAATGCTAGCTATATATTTGCCAGACACTGAAAAGTCATTCCTCTAGAAAACTTTTGAGTACAAACGGGCAACAAATATTATAAAACATTTGAAAGACAAGGTTGGTAAGATAGCTTTTATTGGTGAAAGAGACAAGCTTTTGAGCTTACACAGAGCTCTGCTTCAGCTTGTCTCTTTCACCAACAGAACCAATAAAAGATATTACCTCACCAGCCTTGTCTTTCTAATATCCTGGGAACAACATGGCTACAACTATATTGCAAACATAAAATATATGGGAATTCAAATCTCAAACAAGCTAGAAGAGCTCTATGACTTAAATGTCAAACCACTACTTCTGCAAATGAAAAAGGATCTGGAGTGCTTGGTTGGGAAGAATAGCCACCATTCAAAATGAACATTTTAGCAAAGTTACCTTTCTTGTTTCAAAATCTTTCTATGATCATCCCAGATAAAATCCTAGCAGGATTACAGAGGATGTTGTTAGAATTTATATGGAATAAGAAAAGACCAAGAGTGAGTAAGTGTAGTACTTTGTGCAGATCCATGAAACAGGGTGGGGATTAGCTGTTCCGAATATTCTATGGTACTGTCAAGCCAGCCACCTCAAAGCACTAATGGATTGCGGGCACACTAAGTCAGCCAAGCGCTTCATCTTTATTGAACAAGAAAATTGTGACAGTGTAAACATTGCTAGGCTACCATGGAGTAATAAAAGAAAAAAGAAAAATCACACCCTCCAGAAATTTATACATATCCTTTAGCAAAGGCTATTCTATGGGTTTGGGATAGAACTATAGATAATGTACATACTTTTCTCTTGCTAAGGACATCCATTGCAAATAATCCAGATCTGACCCCTAATCATGACCCAGAAAGCTTTAAAAATGGAATATATATGGTTGGTCAGCTATTCAGTAAAGACATTTTTCTAACTTATTTAGAGATCAAAGCTCATTTTAATTGGCCTGCTCTCCCATGGTACAAGTACTTTAAATTTAGGCATTATAGTTCTCAAATTTCTAGAAAAACTGAAATACAGAAAAAAATACAGAAAGCTAAATTTAATAGAAGCAAAGGTGTCTGGTCAATTAGGAAACAAAAAACTATATAACCAATTTATATCAATCTTTACAGACAACTTTCCTAACCAAAATATGTGCATATATGATAGATACACTGGGAAAAGGACCTGCACAGACACATCACGCCAGAGGAATGAGGTTTGATCTGGAAAAGAGGACCAGCAATAGCTGTAGCACAATAACAGAAAATTTCTTTAAGATACTGTTTCAATGGAGAGAGATTTAATGGGGATAAATGTTGAAGAAATTGTGGTGAAAGAAGTGACTTCATGCATATAAGGTGGACGTGTCCGATTATTAGAGTGTATTGGGATGAAATCGGTAACCAAATATCACAAATTGTTGGATTCTTCTGGGGTTTTCTAGCAGAAATGGTCACACAAAAAGGAAATGGCGAATTAATCTTGTATCTGCTAGTAGCTGCTCAGCTACTGATAACCTCTCCTTGGAAAATGAAAAATAGTTAATTGTCTGCACAAGGTTATGCATCTGCTCCCTGATGGTATACGTACCGTATACTTCAAGAAACGTTAATAACATTTTCAAAAGCAGAGACCGACTTTGGATGCCCAACATGCGACACCTGGGACTGATTTTCAGAAGTGCTGAGCAAACACAGTTCTGAATGAAGTCAGTGGGAACTGCAGATGCTCAGCACTTCTTTAAATCAGGCACAAGGTGCCTCAAACTGGACATCCAGAAACGGAAGAATCTCAAATTAAAGCCACTTTTGAAGATAAGGCTGTGTCAATACCTCGGACTACACGGTCCCCTCTATTACACCCTGTGGAGGGGAGCAAAATACACAGGGGCAGGAGAAAGAGTGCAGTGCCTTTACTAATACTTCCTTTTCCCCAGACCCCACCAAAGCCCCACTGCTTCAACTGCACATGACTTGGACTCTGTTGCTTTGGAAGCGGGGGTCAGAAAGAGGTGAAGTTGGGAAGCAGCCATTGTGTGGCATACTACCCTTTGGACCAGGTTAAAAATCCACCTGGAAGTTACTACTAGCAGAGGCAGCCACTAAGTTCCCCAGACCCAGTCACCTGACAAGCCGCAATCTCTAGAGCTAGCTGGAGAACTGTAACTCCATTCACTACAACTTTCAAGGTTTTAAAATTTGTTTTCGTTCCACATTGTAATGAAAACAAACCCTTTCAAACATTTTAGTAGAATGAAATTGTGTTGAAAAGGTCAGGTTTTCAATTCAGAGGTCTCCCTATCTCTCTGGAAATGACCAGAGACTTCTCCCTGGATCTCAAAAACCTTCCCATCAAATCAATACATCTCCATGAAATGTTTTAGCTTAGACAAATCAGCATTTTTCAACAAATACCATTTTGTTGAAAATGTTCCAGCCATTTCTAGCATCCTCCTCTGCAAAGCCACTGATTCCTACTCCTTGCAGGGAAGATGTAACTTCAACTTTGGCAGTTCTAACCTGCCGTTTGGAGCACTGGTTTCACCCTCCCATGATTTGTCTGCCACAGAGATGAATGCCAACTGCAATCCTCAAGAACAATACCAAACCTGGAAAGGTAAACCCTTAAAAATGATCCATTTGAGATATCTTTCAGGATGCTGCCTTTTATGTACATCAGTGCCCTTCTGATCAAAAGCACATAAACTGTTTTGATTTTCCAAGTCTTTATTTACATTTAATACATGCAGACATAGGTATGTACCAGACAGGCAGAAATTTGGGACAGCATTTTACACACTGAGTGTAATTTCAGTATGCACATGGGAAACTAACATTTTTCTAATTATAATACCATGCAAAGTTCTGTTGTGGCAGTACTTTTTTTGTTAGCTATTAGTAGGCTACCTGTGACTTAATTATAATCCTATTTTAATAGGTAAATATGAAGCCAGGAGGTGCACAAACAGATTGTTTGAAGAGACTCAGTGATTCATGAAAGCAAATACTTTGGAATATCTCCAAGGACAGATAATGTGGAGATGGCACCTGCCAATATTAGATACCCAAATTTCCTCAGAAACCATGTTTACTGGCTGCCTGTCTTTTTTGGTTATTTGTGTGGGTCATGAATAACCTGTCATTTTTCTTTAATGAGTATATACAGAATCATAGGTGTGCATGGTAATGTACACAGTAAGTGAAGAAATGTTTCTGACTCTACACTGATCACAGCTATATATGCTGCAGGGGGAGACAGCACCAG